AAGATCTGTTCCATAAAAAGTTGGATCGTAATGATGTTACAAAACTAATGCATCCATTAATATAGTCTCGAATGAGGCTTCGAGAAGCTCTTCTCTGGCTTGTATTAGCCCATTTCTGATAAAATCAATCTTATTGTTATAATATCCATCACTAATCTGGAAATCCAGCATATTGACTTCAAGCGCACCGTTATTCGAAAAAAGTGCCAGAAAGTAGGCTTCCATAAGACCACGGTTTTTCACACATTCACTTACAGAAAATAATTCTTTAAAGAAACATTTTTCTCTAACAATATTTCAAATTAACTGATTTATTCAGAATTGAATGGGCTGTATTTAGAAAACAGTTTAACGAATAATAATCTGAAATAATCTAAATTTTAAAAGTTAAAAATTCAACTTTTTTTAAAACTGCAGCCTCGGCGTTTCATATTCATCATTCCACATTTTATGCTTTTCTAGGCTTTTGTTTCAACTACGAACATTTAATGTTAGGGGCTTTCAAGTGGTTATAGCCGTTCAAGGGGGAAAAACAACACTACACAACACTTTTTCCACTACTGTAGTGACCTCGTAGTGATTTTCTAGTGATCACGGGGTTATAGTGGATTTGTAGTGGATGCGTAGTGGGGTATAGTGGGGTGTAGCGGATGCGTAGTGAGGTGTAGTGGACAATCCCTTGTAATGTAGTGAAGCATTGTTTTTTCCTCCTTGAATAATTCAATTCAGTAGTCTCCATCGAATTATGTATCGAACCAATGTTGTTGTAGATTGTCGCGAAAACACGATGAATAGACGGAAGAGACTTTTGACAGATTTTGAGTGCGTCTTCGTAGTATGAGAGTGCAGTTAAGTAGTCTCCCATCGAACAATGCACCCCACCAATGTTGTTGTAGATCGTCGCATAGACAGAATGAGTGTATGGAAGAAATTTCTGGTAGATTTTGAGTGCGTTTTCATAGTATGAGAGTGCAGTTAAGTAGTCTCCCATCGCATTGTGCACCGAACCAATGTTGTTGTAGATCGTCGCATAGATAGGATGAGTATTGGATGGAAAAGAGTTTGGATAGATTCTGAGTGCCTTTTCGTAGTATGAGAGTGCGGTAGAGTACCCCCCCATTGAATGATGCACCCCACCAATACAGCAGTAGATCGTCGCCAGGTGAGGATGGGTAGGTGGTAGAGACTTTTCTCGAATTTTGAGTGCATTCTTATAGTGTGAAAATGCAGTCTGGTAGTCTCCCATCGAATCATACACCCCACCTATGTTGTTCAAGATCGTCGCCAGATGGGGATGAGTGGATGGAAGAGATTTTTGTCCAATTTTAAGAGTCTTCTCGTAGTATGAGAGAGCAGTAGAGTATAGACCCATTGCAGTAAGTACTTTACCAATGTTGATGTAGGTCATTGCCAGGTCACGATGAGTGTGTGGTAGAGATTTTTCTCTAATTTGGAGTGCCTTTTTGTAGTATTTGATTGCAGTCGTATATTGACCCATTGAGTAATACACGTCACCGATGTCGTCGAACGTCATTGCGAAGTGGGGATGATTAGGCTGGAGAAGCTTTTGTCGCTGTTGTAGTGTCTTCTTATGGCATGCAAGAGCAGTTGGAAAGTCACCCCTGTAGAATTTTATAGATCCCAGGTCGGAGTGAAAATTCGTGCTTTTTTCCAAGTCGTTATTGAATTCATAGTTTCCAAACGCTTCGCAGATTTCTTCAGCTTTGGCGTACTTACCCATTTTAATCATCAATTTGCCAAGTAAAGAAGTTCCTGCGACTTTTTTGATCTCCTGGCGTATGTAGTGGGTGAGACGTTGTAGCTGTTCATCCTGGTCACTTGTCAATATTCATTTGACGTACCAAATACCATCATTTCCCTGCTGCATGTTTCCGATGCGAAAGACAGCGTGCATTGAGAACAGAATTTCATTTTCCTTGTAATAACCGATTTTGTCCAATAAGGCAAAATGAGTCGTGGAGTTCGACGGATCAATCTCGATTTCAAATAGAATCTGCACGGAATCGCGATCACTTGTAGAACCTTCGGCGAAAGCACGAGAGACTTCTTGATCGGTGCTAGTCGACAAGAAATTGTTGAAAAACAGTAATCTACCCTTATTCATCTGTATCTTCTTAAAGTCACTGTTGGACATACTTTGGCCTCTGTAGGTTGTGATTTTTGGTGCACGAGAATTTTGCGAGTGGAGGTGTTCAATTTGTCGATGAAGATTTTGAATGAAGAATCCCATTTTTATGATGCTTTCAGTGTCTTGTGTTCTTAGAGCTCTATTGAGCGTCTCATAAATAAAAGGTTCTTTTGTGTACCACCAAACAGGCGAATGACGGTCATAATCGCGCTCAACGGCGTCAATCAAGCGTAATCTCTTATCGTTCTTGCTATATTGGGTGCGATGGAAATTGAAGTACTGTTGTTTAGCGTGTTCATCATATTCCATGTCGAGCAGGATCTCTTTGAGTAATTGTGAGTACATAAATGAAGGCTCGAGTTTATTTATATCAGCTGTCGCGGACAAGAAGACAGCAGCAACCGGTGTCATGTTGTGTTCACACTGTCGAGTTTTCCTACTGAGTTGATTCGAAATGAATGAAATGTCGGTAAAAATACCTTTGATTTTTCTCGGATATTTGGTCGACTGTTTTTTATGATTGGCCATTTGGTCACAAAAGACATTAAAGGAGCTGGATTGAGACACATCATGAAAGAGGGGTACAAAATTCTCGGCGAAAGTTCCTGGGAGAATCAGGAAGGCTTTTTGATCTTTAATATTCAAGAGAGAATTGAAACATTCCCCTGTATCAGTGAATGACTTGGTTGAATTGATGATGTGTGGAAGTTGAGTGATCGAATTATTTCCATTGGATTTATCCATGTTTGAGTCCAGCCAGACGACGGTGAGATTCTCTGTCAATTCATGCCGCGATCGCCGTATGGAATGTGCTTGTTTTTGGAGTGGTATCAATAGTCGATTTGACTCGTGTACTCGTGTGCTCAGATAATGATGTAGTGGTAACTTTTGAGTCTACTGATTTGAGTCTACCATTTAATCATAACGACGTTTGACTTTGATAGAGGGTGAAATCTTCCCTTCATGTATTACTAGTGTATTCATCGTTCTCTGTTGGTTGTTTGGTGGACAAAGTGAAACGCGAATTATTCTCACAATTTGCGTAATGAATACGAGCATCTCCCTTGTTTGAATATGTAGCAGATTGCAATAGCGTTTTAGTGACACCGAGTGCAGGGACGCATCAGCAAAAGTTTTGAAGGTCTGTGTTTTTAACGAAATTTCACGAAATCTAAAAACTCGCTAAAGCTTAACACGAAATCAACTTGAAAGGGGTGCAGCTGTGCTGTTTCGAGTGGGGCGCTGGAAGCTCATCCCCTTCTTGGAAAAGTTTCTGTTCCTCCCGCGAGCTGAAAAATGTCAACTTTAAGTATTTTTATTCCGTACATTGTTTTAACTACTCATGGAAAAAAATTTACTTATCTTTATCTCGTACCGCGATCTTTGCTATCGACTGGCGAAGTCTGTAACTATCTTCATTTAAAAGTTGTTCAAGAAATCGTAAAGTTCAACGTTTGTTGAAATAGACATTACTTAGAGAATGATGCTGAGTTGGAGGACTCGACAAACACTTGTCTAAAACTAGCGAAAAGAACGTAAGTCATATTTTGTAAGCACCATAGTTCTGTATCAATTGACGTCTTGCATACAAAACAACAAAAAACTATCTGAAATAAATTCAAAAACGCACAACATAGGAAGCTGAATATACTTTTGTGGTATCTACTATCCGTCTGTACTATAGACTAAACACGGCTAAGAGGTAGAGACTTTATAACCAGTGACACACTACTATCCATGTCAAAATACTAGTCCATTGTTTTTTGAATAACTCTCGAACAAAAAGACTTGGCGAGCTGCGTTTTTTGCTATTCGAAAGAGGATACCTGCGGGTAGTTGTTTGTCAGATCAGATTCAGATTTAAATAACTCTCGAACAAAAAGAGGTAGCGAGCTACGATTTTCACTGTTGGAAAGAGGATTCTTGGGGGTATGTGTTTATATAATAATCACTCAATCTAAAAAGCTTTTCAGGAGATTTTTAGAAGGTTTCTGGAAAACCTAGGTTTATGAGGATAATCGATTTGCTATTTTTCAACTTTTAGAGGGCTAATCAGTAGCGGGGACATTTCTCTACAATTCTGATCAATCAGGGAAAAAAAAGCTGCAAATGCCGAAAGCTTGAAAGTAACATTTTTACCGGTTTTCATGCTTTTGGGACCCTTCAGTAAAGCCAAACTATCAAATAGAGTTTATGTTCAAAATCAGAGTGCAAAACTGCGTGCAAAGTCAGAAAAATTTTCTGATCAATGGTAGGGTAATGTCCCCGTATGGATTACACTTCTCAAACATGAAAAATAAACAATCGATTATGCTCAAAAACCTAGGTTTCCAGAAACCTTTTAAAAATCTCCTGAAAAACTTTTTAAATTGAGTGATTATTATATAAACACATACCCCCAAGCGTCCTCTTTCCAACAGTGAAAATCGTAGCTCGCTGCCTCTTTTTGTTCGAGAGTTATTCAGAAAACAATGGATTGTGCAGTATTTTGAAATGGATAGTAGTTCACTGTTCTTCTCGAGGTTTGGTACGTAGTACGCACAACGAGGACGAAACTTATTATTTCCTTTTTTCTGTATTTTATGTTTTTCTCATTCGTTTTAGTATATGCCTGAAACATATGCAGAAAACCTGTTAGTTACTTTTTCTTCAACCATTACAAAATGGTTGCCTGTGTGTCTGTGTAAAAATGTGCTAAACCTGTATAAAACAATGTGCACAAATTTTATGGTTATTTAAGCTAGTACATTCATTGAAGTGGAATCACCTGTCACGACAACATTATTTGTTAAAAAAATACTATTATTAATTATCCCGAATTATCATTCGGGAGCAAATATTCGGGGAGGAAATGTCTTTAAGGAGCAACTGTCATTGGGGAGCAACTGTCACGGGAGCAAGTGTCTGGGGAGCAATTGTCGCTGGGGAGCAAGTGTCCGGGGAGCAAATGTCGCGGGAGCAACATTCGGGTTACCGGTTTATTAAGTACTTTGGTGACGAACTGATTACTAACAAAGTATTTAGATAGATATGTCCAGAAAATTGATCTTATTATTGGTTTAATAAAAAGTGACTATACCTATATTCGAAACTTCGCACGTAAATTACATAAATTTGAAATGTACATGAATTCAAACTCGGCACCCTTTTGGTTAGCAAGTAAAACGTGGACTGTAACAAATAAAAAAAATACTTGTATTCTTTCATATATTCTTAATTGATTGTGATATTTCGTCCATATAGCTATACAATTTAAATGCTTGATTGTCAGTTGATACATATTGCTTCTTGCTTGGTTTTAGTTCAGTTAAAATTCTTGTTGATATCTCGTATGTGCCAGGACGTCTTCATACGCTATTGATTCAGTCCGTCAATAAGCGCGAAAGGAACGACGTTAATGTTTCGCACGGAAAAAACAGAAGAAGCAATTTAGCTATTTTATTTTCTATGATAGCCCTCCAGCAGAGATGGGCGAGTACGAGTATACTCGAGTACAAAATCTTCAGTACTCGTACTCGTACCCGTACTCGGTAGTTTTCTTTACGAGTACTTAAAAATATATTCGAGTATTTTCGAGTACCTGAAATTTTTTCACTAGTATGCTGTACAAAGAATTTTTGGGCTTGCGAATTTTGTATCTTCTTCAGACATTAAAAATTTAAGACAAATGACTTAACATACAATAACCTATAATTAAAATAAGAACAAATCAGGCTATTTTCTTGTTCTTTTCTTTCTTAGTCATTCTTGATAGTGATACGGAAAAACATTTTGGTAAAGAACAAAGAATGGACAATGATCTTATTTTAACGAAACATCAATCATATCCTCATCTATCAAAAATAGCTCTAAAATATTTTACTGTCCCTGCAACGTCCGCACCAATAGAGAGAATTTTTTCTCAAAGCGGCTTTATCATCCGCCCACATCGTTCAAAGTTATCAGCATCAACGTTATGCGTGTTAACATTTTTCAAATGCAATAACGATCTTCTAGAATAATGTTTCATTCTTGTGTGTTCAGATAAAGTAAATCAAATAAATAATAAACAGTAAAATAAAAAAACTAAGAGTAGAACCTAATTCTCCTTCAACTGATCGCTAGAAAGATATTGAAAATGGCCATTGTTAGGCAGCTAAACCTTTTTTCATGAGTATTCTCGTCTTTTAAAAAATTTCGTACTCGAGTACTTTTTAGAAAATACTCGTACTCGTACTCGATGCCCAGTACTCGTACTCGTACTCGAGAATCTGCGTACTCGCCCATCTCTGCCCTCCAGTGAATTGTTCGTTTTAGGCTGATCTTGAAGACAATCATACAGGTTCCTTTTGTATAGAGTATATATACCTTTTTAGGAATTATTTGATTACTCATTTTTAATATTAGCTGTCTCAATTTCTCCATCAGTTTCCCAGAATTTCTTGATTTTTACTCATTTGTCGTATCAGTCATCATTTATAATTTAGTAGTTAAAGAGTGTGCGGAGTTTGGGATATAGGTATACCCACTTTTTATTAAAAGTGTACGGAGTTCGGGAAGCAACGGAATTATTATATATACAAATATATACAAATAAACATATTAATGTTATATTTTTGTAGCCAGACATAAACTGCAAGTCTGATCTTATGCTGACTTTGCTGGTATGAACTAAGAACCTCAGTTTCTGGCCGCTTCACTGCTAGAATGTTGTCGAGTGGTTCACTCTCACCACTCACCACCCGGCACCACCTCTGTTGTTCAAGTTTTTACACTCTTCTAGGAGGAGTTTTTTTAAAAAGTTTTCTAAAAATTTGAACTTTTTACTCTTGTTCCCGAAAATAAACATTCCAAATCTATCGTTCTCATGCTTAACTGCAAGATTTTCGTTTCTGGTTCAAAAATATAACATTAACGATAAAAGTTCTAAAAACTTCAACCGTTCAAATTAAACTTCTGTTCTGCTCATATTTCTTCTTGTATATACTTAGTTTTTTTATAGGAAAAATACATTTTTGATCCCGGAAATTTAGCACAATTTATCCCGTGTACTAATTTTCGCGAAAAAATGCACAGATGATCCAGGTTTTTCTAATAATTTTTAATTAGTTATATAATAACACAACTGATCCCGGAAAATTAGCAGATCATGCACTGCACAAAATAACACATGTAAAAAACGTACAGAACAACTGGATTATGGATTATGTTATACATATATTTATACAGAATATCGGAAATATCCATTATGTAAACTTCAACTGAAAGCAAAACAGCCGTCTGGTGGTACATATAAATTATATTCATCAGCAGTTCATGATCATCAACAACGAAATCCAACAACCCGACTATCATCACCAATTCGTGAAAATATCATTAGAATGTCAGACAACGCCTTAGTAACATCTCAAATTAATAAAGTCATGAAAGCATTACATCCAGATTTGTCTATTGATACAAAAGTTATGAAAGTTTCTCGTGTTGACCGTCAAAAAGATTAATTATTAAATTTATTCAGAAGTTACAACTTTGGTATTCATCGCGTCAAAATGTACCACAACCAAATAAACAACACGACATATTTATACCTTATTATGTGGTTAATGATGTCAATGATTTATTTATATGTTTAACAACACGTCAGTTATTATCTGCATGTAAATATTCATCCGTACTGGCGATTGATTGCACTTACAAAATAACAACAAATGAATTACCATTATTAGTATCTGGGACATCTGATTGTAACCGTAGATTTTATCCAATGGGTATTTGTTTAATATCAACAGACGAATCGGCTGATACATTTCGTACAGTATTTCGTGGTATTCAACAATGGGTATCAGCAGTTAATAATCAGCCTACACAATCTCACATGTTATGGCTGATGGATCACCTAGTAAGTAACAAAGTTTGTACACAAGAATCATTTTACAATATGGTTATCTTTGGTCTTAATTTGTATAGGTTTAACAAGTGCCATGTCTGAAATTTCGTTAGCAAGACGTTTAATGTGCTGGTTTCATATGATTCGTAATGTCGTGAACATAGAAAATTAATTAAAGATAAAAATAAATGCTTATTAGTCGAATTAATAATTATTAGCAATTAATATTTGACGATCAAATATTTGTAATAGCATCACGGCTTATGTTATTAAAATGGTCAACAGATGTTGAATTAAATGATTTTAGATAATACTTTGAACAAGAATGGGTATCATGATTACCGTATTGGTATGAAGGAGCCGTTTTTTTAGCACCAAGAACAAACAATGGACTAGAATCACTTAATGGTAGAATTAAAAAAGATTACACATTAAGAAATCGTCTTCCATTATTTGCATTTTTTAAAACAGCTGAACGAATGCTAATGGATTGGTCAACAGATAGTAAAAAACCATTTCAGTTATATACTATATATAAAGATCATTTAAAATTAGCTGCATACACATGGTTACAGCAAGTGGATAAAACACAAATATTACAGGTGAATCCAAATGTTTATGTAGTACCATCAAAACATGGAAACATGAGTACAACAACATGGGTTCAACAATTTTATGCAATGGCTTGGAGCAGTTACGATGAATTCGCTAATTGGCCCAATTCGGCACGTTTAGTGAACTGTTCACGTCTACTACCACCATTATTTTGTGCATGTCAAACTGGTTTAAAAGAATATACTTGCGTACATGCTTTAGGTTTATTAATGTTATGGAGTAGTCAACTAATGCCATAATTAATTGGTAAAAGAAAAGGAAGAGGTAGACCAAAAAAAGTTAAATTAGCATTATCCAAAGGTTAGAATACTTGTACGATTATATTTTTGCTAGCTTACTTTGGTTCTTTTGTGTCGAACTGCTCTGTTTTCCTTTTGTCTTCTGCATAATATCAATGTTTTATGACGTTAAACCCTATAGTTAAAATGAGATCACATAGTTGGTCAATGAGCCTCAGTTGAAGGACTGTGCAGTGCATGATCTGCTAATTTTCTGGGATCAATTGTGATATGCAAGAAAAAATATAGCTTTTTCCGGGAGTAGTTGTGTTATCATATAACTAATTAAAAATTATTAGCAAAACCGGGATCATGTGTGCATTTTTTCGTGAACATTAGTACACGCGATCAATTGTGCAAAAATGTAAGTGTCCTTTTTTATATTCTTTTTCTTGTCTGTCTACTCATTAATTGGTAATCATTGCCAAGTAATTGCTATATATTCTTAGAGGAAAGTGTGTTTTGATCACCAAAAATTACACTTTTGATCACCAAATTTATTTCTATCGAAATGATCACCAAAAAACTACACTTTTGATCACCAAATCAATTAAAGAACATTTAAATTAAAGAAAATATATATAAGAAGAATATATAGCAATTAATTAGCAATGATTACCAATTAATGAATAGACAGACAAGAAAAATAATATAAAGAAAAGAAATATGAGCAGAACAGAAGTTAAATTTCAA